TAACTTGGAAACAAGGAAACAAAGAGAACAAAACTTCAAGGCAACAAGGAACCAAGCAGAAAGAGTGAAGTTATAAGTTAATTAGGTAAAAGCGGTACAATATATGTCCCCATACATGAAGTACCTACCCTGCTACGTGTGCCTAATAATCACCGCCGGCCAATTTGATCGTCGCTTCAGCGAAGGAACATGGTGGTGGAAGTCACGGTGCAAGAAACTTCTCCGTTTAACGGCCAAAAACCCGGCACTTCGGGTCTAAGAAAAGCCGTCACGGTGTTTCAACAAAAACACTACACGGAGAATTTTGTTCAGTGTATTTTGGACTCGATTCCGGAGGAAAAGAGAAAAGGATGCACTCTTGTTGTGGGCGGAGATGGAAGGTTCTTCATGCGAGACGCCATCCAGATCATCAGCCGAATGGCTGCGGCGAACGGGGTATGATGTGTTTTTCATTCTGAAGAGGCGATCGATGCGTTGAGATAAATTTAGCCACCGTGAGGCTGTTTTGAAAGTAAATAACCGAAGCTCAAACCCAGTTCAAGCAGTTCATAAACAATAGAGCAATATATCCGTGAGTGATTCCACGGCCACGTATTCAACATTCTAATATCAGTACAGCTATCTGTTGCTCTCCTTTCATGACCCCTTAACTTGTGTGTAAAAACCTCTGAAGTTTTGCTTTGTTTTCTAGCTATTATTTTCCTTGGCTCTATTGTGTTGAGTTCTCAGTGGCTTCTGTGTATTTTTTTTTTAACGTCACTCGTGACTTTCACAGGTTTTTACACCGAGGATGAGCCTTCACTTGTTTAAAATCAAATTAATATGGAATAATTTAAGAGAAAAATGAAGGCCTTTGAATATGGCCCTGTATTCTGTAGTTGCTCCAAAAGCCGAAAAAAACAAGGAAATGTCAAATCATAGAATTAATTTATTGAAAGTGCGTGTGTGATATGATATTTGACATTATAACAAGCTTAATATTGGCCGTCAACAAAACCCGTATCGGATGGCTTGGATCGGATTGGACTGCAGATCGGATCGGACTCTGGATCAGATCGAATCGGACTGGTATTTTCGCTTTTGGTGCAGAGGAATTGTTTTGAGAAAAGTTGTTTTTAATAATGACACAGATGGCTCTGAATAAGAAATCTGAGTTCTCACAACAGGAGTCTAACCTATGCGTAGTCCAGACACATTTGCGAGTGACTCGGCTAAAGCAGATAGGTGTGAGAAGGCTTGTTGTTAATGAAAATAATGTAAATGACATTTGAAGAGGTCTTTCACTTATTGACAATAAATCATCGCTATCGTACCTTACTCATTCCCGCTATTTTCTTAATCATCACCTCTCCCTCGGCCATCTTCAATTGTCAGGTGACCAAGCCTCTTTTTGGAATTGTAATCATATGAGGTTATGCAACAGAAAATTTTCCGGCGCAATTCAGTTGAAAATAATTCTTTGCAAGGATTTTCAAGCTGATGGTGAATTTCTGGTGATACATGAGAAACAATTTCTTTTAAAAAAGTGACACAGGTGGCTCGGAAGAAAAAGTCGAACCGGTTACAAGTCCAAAGGTGTCTTGACTAGTCATAGGTTAGACTCCTGTTGTGAGAACTCGGATTTCTTATTTCGAGCCACTTGTATCATTATTAAAACAGTTTTTCTCCAAATAATTCTTCTGCACTTAAAATGAAAGTACCAGTCCGATCTGATCAGATCCTGGTTTTGTTGATGGCCCTTTATAATTATGAAGGACGTGGTTTTAAAAGCATAATTCATTGGTTACTAGATATTTGCCATACATGTACACAGACTTAACAAATAACAGTTACATACACATCTAAATTACATCTCTGATATGAAAGGTAACTAAAAAATAAACAAACAAATTATAATACTAATAATAATATCCTTGATTTCAAACCAAAAAAAGTGTAAGTTTAGTGACAATTGCAAGAGGTGTTAAAGTGGGCACAGCGTAGCCGATATAAGAGATGTCATTAAGGGCCCTACCTGTTACGGCTGAGCTCACATGATGTTACATGTGATAAACGTGAAAATTTTAAAATGACGGGAGAATCAAGCACATAAATTCCATTCTGATACGTGTAACTACCCAGATTTGGGAAGTGCTTCTGATTGGTCATGCTGTGTGGGAAATTTGCTTTGAGGCACTACCCGGATCTGAATAGTGACACATCATCAGTATGGAATTTCTGCGCTTGTTTCTCAGACGTCACATCGCGGGGAAACCAGTGGTGGCATTGCAAAGTGTTGATTGATGGTTTTCACAGGCTGTGCATATCATGCCGTTGATACCCTTAGTATGTAAGTCCGGAGTTGACATTTTAACACCAGCAGGCCAGACCTGCAATTTATATTATAATTTATGCACTTATATTATTGGATATATCAATTTTCTTGGAAGGGGAGGGACAGAGATGAGGGTTGAAACTTGGGTATGAAGGCAATCGTCATGTAGTTGAGAATTACTGGTATTGACACAGACACCTGTGTCAGACAGTCACTTGAGTTTGGCTTGTTAAAGCAAAATGTTGACTTCATTACCATATTTTATAAACAAAGAGAAATGGGCAAATATGTTTTCTAGAATCTCAACTGGGTATCAGGAGGTGTGTGTTTGTGTGTGCTGTGTGGGGGGGGGGGGGGGGGGGGGACGGGGCAATCAGAGATTAGGATGGGCTGTGGTCGGGGCCCAGTTAAAAAAATAATTCCAAAAAAAAAAAAATAATCAAAATAATTTTCAAAAAAAAAAAGGTGTTGACGTGGTTGTTAAAATTTTAACCCGCAGTCAGTAAGTAAGATATAAAGAAAAATGAAGAGGGTGAGTATTGTTGTTTAGTGCGGGGTGGGGTGGTGGGGGGGGGGTGGGTGTGGGGGGGTGGGGGGGGGGGGGGGGGGGGGGACAGTGCAATCAGAGATTATGACTGGCTGTGGTCAGCGACCAGTTAACAAATATATTCCCAAAAGACAATGATAATCAAAATAATTTTCCATACAATATAGGTGTTGACGGTGTTGCTTAAACTCTAAGCCGCAGTCAAGGCTACTTTTGGCCATCCTTGAAAAAATCCCATTTTGAGCTTCCTCTTACTTGTCTCTTACAAAAATCAACCTGTAAGCAGCCAGCTTCAGTTGCAGATGCTTTTCCTTACTTACTGAGGGTTCCTGCTTAAGAGAGTTTTGTTTATATTAATACCAAGTAGGGAGATACTTCAACTGTATTTGAAGCACTCTCTTCACCCTGTAGTATGGTATTGTGATAACATAACGCAAAACAATAAGCCCTTTCTCTTCACCTTTTCAGGACATACCGTAAAATTCCGAAAATAAGCCCCTCCATGTATATGCCCCTCCAAATATAAGCCCCCCAAACCTGTAAAGCAAAAAACCCCCGTTAAATCGCCCCTCCAAATACAAGCTGCCGGTAGCTTGTACTTGGAAAATTGCCCTCAAATACAAAGTAAAACAAAGCAAAAACGGTAAATTTACTCCCAACTATGAGGCTAGCCCAATTGATTTTGAAACGCGAATTTCCCTCCCTAGATACGCCCGTCCAGATATATAAGCGCCTCCAAAAATAAGCCCCGGGGCTTATTTTCGGAATTTTATGGTAAGTAGACATACATGTAATTATGTGCAGCATTTCTTCCTAATCCTAGTTTAAAAATAATTAGATTAATAAATAAATCAGAGCAACTGTCTTTTTCAACACCTTTACCAGCTGGGTAAAAGAAAAGTCATAAGAAGTCAAGTGATGGTCAATAATTGGACGGTGTACAGTACTTTGTTGTCATTCTACCAGATGATTTTTCAGAGTAACTTGGGCATTGTTTTTTGTTATTGTTGTTGTTTTATGTAATTGTTTTGTTTCTGTTTTGGTGAAAGGTTGGTGAACTTGTGATTGGACAGAATGGTATCTTTTCTACTCCAGCTGTGTCTTGTATTATCCGAAAGACCAAGGCCAGAGGTTGGTTGAGTATCCACACAGTTTCCATTAATTTTTGTTGAACACAATAATAAATCAAATTACAAAATTATAGTATAATTATTGTGAAAGTCAAAAATATGAATTGTTGCTGCATTATCACTAGGGCTGTCACTAAAGGCTGGTGGCCAGCTATTTCCCCTTGTTGATCTGAGCGGGCCCCTGGCTTTTGAAATAAAACAAAAAGAAAAATAGAACCAAAGTTCTTCCTTGCTTTTCAATTTTGCTTACTAATAAGTATATGCAATTATAGCATATACTCGGCAATGAGAATCTCTAAGTTAGTGACAACTATGCTCTGGCGGTGTTGAAGGTAGTGGATGGGCCTAAGGTAAAGCTGTCGTAAATCTAAATGAGAAAAAAACATAATAATAATAATAATAATAATAGTCTTTATTTCCACACAAGATAAAAAATACATATCTTATGTTACAATATTTGAGTAAAAAGTATATATATCTAAGTTATTTACAGTAAAAAAAAAAAAAAAAAAAAATCTACGCTCACATAGCTAAATTGTATTTAAAACTAGGCCCCAAATATCACAAGGTCTGGCTATCCTCACCCCTCCTACACATTTGCTCAAGGCCTGAAACTTAAACTATTAGCACTGGGGGTTGTCATGCACAAATACCCCCCACTCTTTGTGAAACCTGTGTACAACCAAATGTTTAAATTCCAGCGCATCTGTGGTTCCACAGGAGAACCAGTTGCGCATTATGTAAATCGCTTTAGTATAGATAGGCCTTTTTTATAGTCCTGTTTATTCCTTTTTTGACTCATACAGACACCAGGCATCTGGTTGCCGCCCCACCCTCCTTCCCGCAGCGATTGCTTACGTAATTATGTACTTTTGCACCTGAGCTCCTGCTCCATTCTGCCTCTGAGCTTGCCTCTTTCCATGGCTTCTCTCAACCTGGGGCGCCTAGGAGTGCAGGCTCCAGTTGTGAATTGACAACTTTGTTAAGTACTGATCCCCTATGAAATATTTTGTTTGTGCAGGTGGTATCCTGTTGACTGCAAGTCACAACCCAGGGGGGCCAGAAGGGGACTTTGGAATCAAGTACAACACAGAAAATGGAGGTACAGTCGGTGTACCGTACTTTGTGTACTCTTGTATACTGTAATTTTTTTAATGCCACGACTCTGTGATAACAGATCAAGTAAAAACTTTTCATGCCAAATGTATTCTAAAACAAGGTTACTTGAAGAATAAATAACCTTTGTAAAAAGCCAACGATTCGTGACGCCATCACTGGTTTTCCCGCAAAATGAAATCTGAGGATGTGCAGAAATTCTATGCTGAAGACGTATCAATACCCAGATCTGGGTACTGGGTAGTGCTTTTGTTAAGTGGAAGCAAATTTCCTACACTGTGCGTGCAATCAAAAGCACTAACTAGATCTGGGTAGTTTCACGTCAGCAGTACGGAATTTGTGCAGTCGCTCCTCTTATTTCGCGAATGGAAACCAAACCAGTTGCATCGCGAAATATCGGCTGTTTTCTCCGTTTAAGGAATTAATTATTGATTATTTTTTTGTTGGATAGGTCCAGCGCCTGAAGCTGTTACTAATGAGATTTTTGCACGAACTGGAAAAATAACATCATACAAATTGTGCAAGGAAATCACTGTTGATCTTGATACTATTGGAAGTAACAGCTGGGAGGTAGAAGGTCATACGTTCACTGTAACTGTGCGAGATTCAGTCGAAGATTACACTCAATTGATGAAGGAAATATTTGACTTCGATTTGTTAAAGAAGTTGATTTCTGGAGATGGTGACCAACAACCTTTTAAGTTTGTTGCAAATGCTATGAATGGAGGTGGGGTTGTATTTATTTAATAGAGAGCTTTAGATTCTGAGACAAGGACGACTATGAGTACGAGATTTTCTGAGTATTAAGTTGTGCTCTTGCGTGAATCAGCGACATTTTGGCGGGAAAACGCGATAGCCGTCGTCATTCTAGTACGAGTTTAAGCGAGAATGTCGTAGTGGCGGGAACAAGTTAACAAATGTAAGAACTTTTATCATTTTGCTACCGGGAGAGGGCTTAACCTCCTTCAGTATATGTAACTGTACTAACGTTTTTGGTGAAAAAAAATAAATAAATAAATTGAAGCTTTCTGGGGTTTCTTTTTATCGAGAACATGCGCAAAAACTTTAAGTTAAATCTCGTACTCGTACTCGTTCTCGTCCTCTAATCTAAAGCTCTCTAATTGTGAACGAGAGACAACGTTTTTTTCCGCTAACTGTAACATTTCATTTCGTTTAAAGACAGTATAAGTAACTATGGATCCTTGGAAACTTACAAAAAATGTATTATTGTAGGAAGGTAAACACGTTACATGAGATACCTAAGGTTTGGTTCACACGGGCCACACGATTTTTTTCGCCGTTTGTCGAAAATTCGTGCGTTTACATGTAGGTGTCTTGTTCACACTCAACTCCTACCCCCCCCCCCCCCCCCCCCCCCCCCCCCCCCCCCCCCCACACAACAACGACACAAAAACACAACAAGCACAATCAACACAAAAACCAACACACAAGTATGATAAAAAACAATCACGCAGCAGGCACAACACAACAACCGCACACCTGCCTTTATATTGGAGGAAGGTAAACCCGTTCAAGAGGAACCCTAAGGTTTGGTCCACCCGGGCCACCCCTTTTTTTTCCCCGTTTGTAGAAAATTCGTGGCTTTTAATTGAGGTGTCTTTTTCCCACCCACCCCCCCCCCCCCCCCGCCCCCAACCGTACGAAAATATGGATGACTAAAAAAATGAGGTCAAACTTTAAGCCGGTGCGGTGTTAAAAACATGACCGTCCACAGTTTTGAACGGCAAAGGCTTGATCGCATAGATGCGTGGTTACTCAACTGGAAGACGCCATTTTGGATTTGCCAAAGTGGCGCTAGTAGCCTGCGTAGCAGGCGTTTATTAATTTTTTTTTTTTTGCTCTTGTCCCAGCTTTCTAGAGGAACCTCGCGAGGAAACGCTTGCTACGCAGGCTATGGCGATGGAAAACCACTGACTAAAGTTAAAATTTAATCTTGTTTTCGTGTGAACTTAGCAAAAACATTGGACGGTTCCAGTTGAACGAAGTGTTCGGTTCAATTTTTCAGCTGGCAAAAAAAAAATTGGTTAGCCTGCCAGCAAGCTCTCCATTTGGGGTAGGTGCGAGAAGTCACTCATGACCGTCACGCGGAGAGACACTACGAGAGCGAGAAACGGGGATATCCCCTCGCGCGTTCTGCCCGGGTTCGCTTCGCTAGACAGGAATCAGATGAAGGAGAGCATGCGATGCTTGCGGGCCAAAAATTTGTCTGGTGCCTTGTGAGCGTTAGCCTAAGGAAAAACGAATCAGTTACCAAGGGATTAGAATGGCCCATGGATTTTTATAGGCTACCTTTGTTATAATTATTGCAGTGACTGGTCCATACCTGAAAAGAATCTTATGTCAGGAGTTAGGAGCACCGGACAGTGCCACTTTAAAATGTGAACCGAAAGAAGACTTTGGAGGTATGCAAGTAGCTTGCTTTGTAATGTGTCATCATCGTCAGTCTTTTTATGCTTTTTGTACGCATAACCAGCGATATATCAAGAAAGTAGCACGGCTACAAAACTATAATTGGGCCAGTTATTTAAACGATGTTAAGCCAGTGTTTAACAAAACCGCGTTCTAAGCCATTTTCCTCTGTTTACCGAACACCATTGTGAACATTTCGATGAAAGCATATGGCGTAGACTAGAAAAGCATTTGTGTTCCTTAAATAACCCACTGATGAAGAGACCTGGTGGTGCAAAGTTATTTCTATACCGCGGTCTAAGCTAGACTTTGTTTGAACAACCTATGAGTTTCAGGATGAGACTAAGAGGCCCAGACCCATATTTAAGAGTCCTGTACCCTTGCCGGTTTAATAAGAAATCGAGTTAAGTTTATTATTCTTCTAACTCTCTAGTAAGCTCATGTGTCAGGTTTTATAGACGGTGGAATGCTGCTTATTATTGGCAAAAAAACGTGTATGCATCCAAGAGACGCATAAGGCGTATGATTTGTGCATACTGTAAGGAATGTATACGTCTGAGACGCGGGACGCGCAGGTAATGGATGAAAAATATGTTGCGGATAACGTTTGAAAATTGGGCGATTTTTAAGCAACTTAACGTTTCCAGCAAAATCGTGATATGCGTTTTTGCTTTTAGCTCGCAACCCTTTAATTAAAAGCGTTTTTTCTGTTTAAGCTTAATGGTATAAGATTGAACTACAACAATACATACAGGTTTATATTTCGTAGCTAAAATCTTGTTGTCTGGTTAAACCAGTATTCAACCTATTAGTGTTAGCTTTTTGCCTTGGTAATGATCTAACACTGGTAACCTTATTTGACTACTTGATTAACTACTCGGAAACGGATTTTACCGTAAACGTGTATCCCTAAGTCATCTGATAGCTCTTGCTTAGGCTCGAAAACCATACCAGATATGGTGCCTTTGTTTACATTATGCACATGCGCGATTTCTGTAATGAAGTAAATCTGGACCGCGCCATTCTCGAAAGTAGAACGTCACACATCGAATAGGTTCTGCGTCACACTACGGTAAAGTGTGAATGAGTATTCGGACCGAAGAGGAAGTGAATAAGTAGGAACGTGGACTGGAACCCAGTCACTGAGACGGAAGTAAATGTCTAGGAGTCAGCCGCTAAATCCTGCAGCAATAAGGCAATGTGTGTGAACGACTTGTTCCAGTGCCAGGCTGTTTCTGATTATGCTTTACGGGATAGCTTTTCGTGTCGACACAAAAGTTATTCGGTATAGTGTTGAAATAGCCTTAACCTTTTCACTGCTAGAGTGAAAGTTGAAGTCCCTTAAGGTAATTCTAACTTTTGAGTCTGTGGACAAAATCCTGTGATGTGACCACTCAAATGAAACCTCTTCAGCAGTACTTTCACAAGGTACTATTTATTGAGTATGTAGTTGTAACTTTTGAGTCTGTGGACGGACAAAATCCTATGATTTGACCATTCAGATGAAACCTTTCTGCCTGTACTTTCAAATGGTACTATTTGTTTTCAAAATTTTACAAAACGAAATTTGGGAATTTATTTCGAACTCTGCCCTTGGCCACACTTGGCAATGAAAGGGTTAACCTCTTAGTAAAAGACTGTTTATTGATGGGTATCAAATGCATGTATTATGGTCACTTTTCTCTTAAAGGTGACCATCCAGATCCCAATCAGACGTATGCTGCTGATCTTCTCGAATTGCTTAAAGAAGGTGTCCATCAGATTGGGGCTGCCTTTGATGGAGATGGGGTAAGATATGTCTATCTTTTTCATTTGTGGCTTTAATCTCGGCATCCCAGCAGAGACAACTACAGTTTCTTAAAGTGTATTTTTTATATGACGCGACTTTTTTTTCCTGATTACGGTCCTTAGATGAATTTCATTTACAATTTGGAAGGCCCGGCTCCTCGTAAGATGGTTGAGTGTAACTCAGGATTAAGCCAAATTTTAAGCAAGGTTTCCTTGTCTAAGAACATGTAACTCGAGCTTACAAAAATTAATACTGTTGAGCCATTACTCCAAAATGCAGTAAAGATAACACAGGGGCACCCAACGAGGATATAGTTCAAAACCACTTAACATAGCAGTGTTGAACGTATTTTAGTATTTAAACGGTAGGTATAGGCATATTTTTATCCCCTAAAAACTTTTCATCTGTTGGGATTTCCTAGCTGAAAGTCTAGTGATCCGAAAATTATAGTGATCAAAACTTACCTTTTCGAAAATTTCAGCCAGGAAAAGGCTCCCGAAAATTCTAGGTGGCCTTTTTCAAGGTAAATATCAGTTTAAAATGGGTAATTATACCATTTTGTAGATGTTCGAAAATCCTAGGAGAGGCAGGCAAGCAAGAAATTTTACAACAAATGTTCCGAAAATTCTAGTTCTCAAATCGTCTTCCAAACAGGCCAAACAGATATTTTCCCGAAAATTGCCGTTGGGTGCCCCTGATAACACACAATGTTATAGTCTAAGCAATACGTAGGAAAGTTAAATACTACATAAACACACTTTTGATCCTGGATTAGCGCTAATCGGCCTTTCAAGAACGGGCCCTGAACTTTAATGTACCAGAGACCTGGAATGAGTTACGGATCAAAGAAAAGCTGATGACATCATGTGACGTCAATTGATTTCCTCAGACTTTGCTCCCGATTCTGGTCATTGCTTTGTGTTTTATGAAATGAAGCGATCAAGCTGACTGTAACGAATATATAGCGAAGTGAATGAAGATTCTGAAGATAGCTCGGGAATTTCCGTCTTACTGCCATCAAATCATTCTACGTCATACTTGTCAATTTGGCTGCGCGATAGCGCAGACATTTCTGGAGGGAAATTTGCGTGTTTTGAAGGCGAAGAAAATAGTCTCCGCAAGATTTTTTGGCTACCTTTAATTTCAGATGTATATTTTCACATTTTTTAAGAATAAAAAACGACAAATAAATCGTGTCGTGTAAACTTTAAATATTTGTGTCTTATTCTGTTGCAGGATCGTAACATGATTCTTGGGCAAAATGCTTTCTTTGTAACTCCATCAGATTCTGTTGCTGTCATCGCAGATAACGCAATGTGCATTCCATACTTTGCTAAGACTGGATTGAAAGGTGTCGCCCGCAGCATGCCCACTAGTGCAGCTATTGACAGAGTAGGACAGAAAATGAGAATTGAGTGTTTTGAAGTCCCCACCGGTAAGAAGTGGATTATTTACTCAAACTGGATCTTAAATGAACACTAGTGCTGTACTATTAGCAAGCAACGCCGAATGAAAATACCAAAGCTCGCAGAAAGGGCTTAACTCCACTTCCAGTGCTAAATTTGCCGTTCAGCCATTGGGCAAGTAGGATTTTTTAATGAGCATGCGCCGCCGTCACTGTCGGCCCATTCTCTTTGTCATTCGTACCGTCTTAAAAGGGCCTTGAATGTTACTTAAAGCTTTTGAAAAGCACTTGAATTTTTTATTAAATCTTAAAAAAAAAATTGAAATTTCAGGTATTTCATTTCCATTTTTGCCATATTTCCTTTTCGGAGAGCCGTAGTAAACATGCGACTTCCCACCGGTGAACGTTCATGCCTCATCAAAAGTCACACATATTGAACAAATGTTAGTTTATTTCAGCCAATTTTGGCCTTGTTTTAACGTTAATAAAAGGTATAAGGTACCCACCATGGCTTTACCGTGCGACAGGGGTGTTATTTTTGCTTTCACTTGTAATTATATAGCCTAAGTCTTTAATATTTGATTTTCACATCATAGGTTGGAAATTCTTTGGGAATTTGATGGATGCTGAACGCATTTCTCTTTGTGGGGAGGAAAGTTTTGGAACAGGATCAGACCACATCCGAGAAAAGGATGGTGTCTGGGCATTCCTTGGTAAGAGTAGTACATTACTTTTATCTTGTCTATAGTGTGGTTGAATTTTATCCCTGCTTTAAACTATATTTTCACTTATTTCAAACTCATTATTATCCATCAACATACCCAGAAACAAAAGAAAGTAAAATTGAAACCAAGGACAAAAATAATTAAACCACAACATCTATTTACACCTAATTGCAAAAACGTTGTCATAGAAAAATGAAAAAATGGAAAAAGCCAAATAGGAATTAATTAGGCTAATAAGCCTAACGAATTTATTCACAGAATCCGCGTATGGACGTCGTATTTGCCTGTTGGAATTTGCTATTGTTTTAAAGCTGAAAGACAATAAAACTGAAAATTCCAGCGGGGAAATGCAACGGCTGCAAATGAATCTACCACGAGAATGTGGCTTAATTAGCCTATTAAATTCCTATTTGGCTTTTTCCTTTTGTCATTTTTCTAAGACAACGTTATTGCAATTAGGTGTACATGTATTCGTTCAGTTCAAGAAATGTCTGACCTCCATGGACTTTGGAGAGAAGTCATGAGCCATGAAAATAGTGCGTTATAGGTCAGTAATTTCGCTAGGATTTGGATACAACCTACATAAAATTGATTGATAGACTGACGCTAATAAACAGGGCAAGTTTCTACATCCTGATTATACCCACTGGAATCGTGTTCATTACAAGCAAGTTAAGGAATCCCAACTCAATCTTTTCTTTACAGTTCTTGATCTGAAATTTATATCTTACACTGTGTACTTGTACAAAAATCTTCATAGAAAAACACCTTGTTGTACGATGTTGTATGTTGCTAGACGACCGTTGGATTAGGTCTGAATGAGTTCTATGTTTCGGGTGCAATGGACTAAGTTGTAACGCTATGGGCACTAATTCAAGAATGTTATACTCGCAACTTTCTTTGCTTGCGTGACATTTTTATAAGCAAAGATAAGGCTCTTTAATTGCTTTGTTAGAAGAGGAAAATACTGAATTTAGCCGATGATCCTTTTCGATCTAAATTTTTCATGCAACACTTTAGGCGGGTTTTGTTTAGTTTTTAAACCGGCACACCTCATTCAGTAATGCCCAACGTCATGCGTTCACCTTATTTTTTGCACTCATTAATTTTGGATGATGTTAACTCCTTTTCAAATTACCTTAATGACTCTTTATCAAACAATATGCATATTTGTTTTCCAATAAATGACTTTACGTCTTTGGCGATCTTAAGCAACGAGGATGCTGTCGTCATAAATGGTAACCGGAAATGTGTTTTTTCTCTTGATGGAATGCTTTCGTATGACGAAACAAGTTTGAGAGCTTTTGTTTGTCCGATTGCAATATGACTCTATCGACTCAGACCATTGAAAAAGAAAAAAGATCAACTTCCGGTTGTGATTTTTGATGTAAGGGACGTCAACGTTTTTGTTGCTTAAACTCGGCATATGACTCGACAATATTGACGTTAAGTTAGAAAAGTGGAGTTAACCAAAGTGTGACGCGTAGGTGTGTTGATCAGTTACTAAATGAAACTTCAGCCGGGTTTGCTATGGAATTATCTAAGTTTTTCAATCAACGATTTCATTCTTCAATTCCGAGTAAAACAAACTGTACATGTGTATAAGGATTCTTCCAACAGTATAGGCCTTATGTAGTATGTAAAGCCACGCACTGCACGTTTCCTTGAGATGCCCTGCCAAAGGACGGTCGCTCCAGACGCTTCGGTTTTGAATCCTGTAACCATCACTGCCAGCTAATCTCCTCTATCACCTCAATTTTCACCAGTTGTTTGACATTTTTTATTTGTTATTTATTTGTTTTATTTATTATTATTAATTTCTTTTATATATATAATTGTAAAAGGTGAACGTGCTGAAAGGTTCGAATACTATTCTTGCCCCCTGCTACTGGGTCAAAGACAGGACTCATGTTTAGTTGTAACAAAACGAATTTTGAAAACTCAAGGTTTCTTCCCCATAGGTGCTCTTTGTTTTCTCTTTTCTTCATTGTGCTTTCTGTCTAACAAACAAGATATATCTTTACTGTCCTGGAAATATCATTCTGTGACCTAGAAATAGAAAAAAAGAAAATTATGGAGTGGTTCTGTGGTACATGTACATTTGAGGCTTTTAGAAGAAATACAATTGCGTACTTTTTTTTACCTTGAAGACGCTGATTTATTTCCTTATGAACCACTGATAGTGTAAGCCTTTTAAATTTTCAATTTTAATGCGACTGCATTATTTTCAGCTTGGCTTTCCATCGTAGCGAGTAGAAAGATGTCTGTTCAGGACATAATGAAGGACTTCTGGAAGAAGTACGGCAGGAGCTTCTTCCTAAGGTACGGTATCTATTCGTTTATTTTTGCTTCGAGAGAATTGTTTCAAGGTACCATTTTTTTTTTCAGCATTTTAACAGACAACAGGCTCATAACCTCTGTCTCACTGACTTTTAATAAGGTTTCTAGTTCTGTTTTTGTTCTCCAAGCGAGACACCATGTCGTTGACTTGTTCTTAAAGAGCTTTGAATTATGAGATTTGTTGTAAGCGGGAATAGCTTCAGTAGTAAGCGTTCGCGTGAGGCAGTGAGCGGACAGTTGAAGCGATCAAGCGAACATAAACTAATGTCAACCCGCCAAGGTAATGAATGCGGGTTCGTCAGAGTTGTGAAAGACATTTTACTGCTTAAAAGTTATTTTTGCACCTGCAGCTCGCTTTGTTTTCTGTGAGATTTTAAATTCCTCTTCTCGTATCAAGTCGCTTTATAAGGTAAAGCTGAATACGTTCCGCTCGAGCACTTTGCCTATTTAAATAAATAGTTTTAATTAAACTGGCAGTCAAGTTATCACGTACCGCTCCAATCCCAAAAAGTGACCATACTCGTCCTCCATAATTTGCTCACTCCAACATTCAGGTGGTTAGCGGCATAAAAGAAAGTATTTTCAGGGATAGGTGTCTTCATGCCTGTTCGTGTCATGAGAATTGTGCGGGGAACAGTATGACGTTATCGACTCAGACCATTGAAAAAGAAGAAAGATCAACTTCCGGTTGTGCTTTTTGATGTAAGGGAAGTCAACCGGCGTTTTCATTACCTGAAGTCGCCATATGACCCGACAATATCAGGTTAGAAGAGCGGAGTTAACCAAAGTGTGACGCGTAGGGGGTAATTTGCTCACTCCAACATTCAGGTGGTTAGCGGCATAAAATAAATTAATTTTAAGTGTTGGTGTCTTCAATTTATGCCTGTTAATGTCATAAGAATTGTGCGGGGAACAGCCCAGAGAAAGTGTTTAATAATAAGATGCCAAAACTTTATTTCATCAACCTTAACACTGGATTACGAATCTTTTCTGAATATTTGAATCAGAATTATCTTTGAACTGAACAAAAAACAACATGCCGTCTTGATTGTCTTCAGTGTTCGTCTTATTAAATTGGTTTTAGCTCAATCGACTCTCCCTTGCCTTGTAGAAACAACTAACCGTCAGGGTTCCATATAAAACTAGCTTTGCTAAAGAAGATGAAAATTAGCTTTACTAAAGAAGATGTGTCCTATACAAATATTGATTTTCAATAAATATAAATGTTAAACAGCAACCCTTCGTTTATTGTCTGTTAAAATGAAGATGCTTTTCTATTTAAGCTAGCGCAAAGGCAAGTAAGTTACGTCACTGTTAAACTGAAACAAAAGTCTGTTCATAAAATATAAAATCTGACACGAAGAGTGTGTGACGCTTTTTTTTTGTCATTAAAAATTCCTCTTTTTATGCTCCTCGCTGGTTTTGTAATAACAAAAGGTTTGTTTCGTCCACCGTTATGTACTTACAACTTTATATTGATTGTAGCAGTTATTCAGTTTCTGTCATGTGATGTCATGTACAAAGAAACAGCTCTATTTATAGAAGGCAATTAAACTTGACAATGTCATTCCATCTCAGTCTTGAGAGTGTGTAGTTTGGAAGTGAAATTCAAAATGGCGTCAGAGCTCTGCACTGACACTTTAGGTCACTTGTCGTCACTGATTCAGTTTCACAGAACTTTTATGCTGGCGTATTGTATTTTATTGTTGCTATTTTCTGTGGTGGCAGTTCTTGGAAATGTTCTTGTTATTCACGCCTTGTGGAAAGTATCATCTATTCCGTCCAATATAAAGAAGCTGTTCTTGAGTCTCGCTTTCTCGGATCTTGCGGTGGGAATGTTGCCACAGCTTATGCTGGGTGTGAACATCGCAGTGATGTTATCTCAGACGTCGAATGGTGACAGAAACTTGGCCTCGTTTTGCCCAGTAATCGTTACTGCCTGCTATTTTTTCATTTTTCTTCTCTGCAGCGCATCTTTTCTAACCATTGCAGCTATTGCAGTTGACAGACTTCTCGCTATTTTGTTACATCTGCGATATCGCGAACTCGTCACATCAAAACGTGTCAATATGGCGTTGATTATGGTATGGTTAACAAGTGGTTTTGCTGCCTCTATATCCATTTTACTCACCGTAGGCAACATGGTCATCGCAACTGTTCAGTTTATTTTGCTTCTGTTGACAACTGTGGCATATGTCCGTATCTTTAACGCTGTGAAATACCATCACAATCAAATACAAAGTCAACTTCAGCTGCAAAGCGTCCAAGTGGTTGATCTCCTTCGACAGAAAAAGTCCGCCATGAATGCTTTGGTTGTTTATGTAGTTTTCCTTGTTTGTTATCTTCCAATTTTCGTCGTTGCAATATTATTGTTAACTTATGGGGAAGGAATTTCCATGCTAGTAGCCAATTATATCGCGATATTTTTTGTGTTCCTTAATTCTTCTTTAAATCCTCTCGTTTACTATTCGCGATATCGAGAAATTCGTATCATTATGAGAAACACAATAAAAAAGTAACTTACCATGTCGATACATAAACGAGAAAAGATCGTAGCGAATGATTTCAATCATTGGCTTTGGTATAATTTTTACACTGGCAAACAAGTGTTCTTATTTATTAACTGTATTGCAGAGAATCATCGCGCCGAAGCAAGCTATGAGGTGTGTGTGCGTGATAAAAGAGATACATATTACAAATATATTACAAATCTGAATTAAAGCAACCAAGTTACCCGTATTTATCTGTTTTTGCCTCAAATTTTGCATTTAAACAGATTTTGATATATGTATTTTTTATTTTATACCATTTCCTTGTGGGCAATATTCTTGATCTTGCGCTAATAAAATAAATATCGTAAACTTTAAAATCGTAGTATTAAACTGTATTCGAACTGCAGATGATCGCAGATCGCTTGAAACATTTCTTGCTTTTGGAGCTTGGTTTGTCTGCTATTTTCCAGACCAGCTGGGAACTTTTAAATCAAAAATAGTGATTCACTACGCCCCATTGACTAAATCATTTTCTAGCATGTTTTGCAATTATGATTTATTTAACCGTTCAGTAGTTGTTTTAAAAGAAACGGCAAAGTAGTGAGATTTTGTTTTTTAAAGTTTTATCGCTTAAATTCAGCAAGAGATTCCCTGCATTTTAATTGCTAAAGGAGAAAACGTCCCTTTCAACGTAAACTGGTGTCCGTTAGTGTTAAGAAAAAACAAGTAAACAAACGAAAACAGAAGAAACATGTACATTGCAAATTTGCATTAATAATGACATTGGAACTAAGTCTGTTCTTGTTAAAATCACAAGTATAACTTGAGTTTAAAACTGTACGACACGAAGTTCATCCTGATTGGACATCGCCTAATTAAGCTGCCTAAATACAGGATATTTTATTGATACAGTAACTGGTTTGTAAAAAAGTATATGTCAAAAAAATGTGAACCGCTCACGGTTTTACTTCTGTATTTATTTTGGTATGCAACACAGAAATAATGCGTCTTAGGTTAAAATGATGCTTCAGAAATGGTGCGATTTAGAACAGAAATGGTGCGATTCGTGAATAAATATCACGTTGCTGAGAGCGAACCAGTATTTTCAAAATGGTTTCCATGAAAATACTAAACGGTTATTATTGGCCCTATATCCCTGTTCAAGGCAAATGGGTTGTACTGTGCCTTTTTATGTCTGCTTTTAAGCGGTCTTTTTGGAATACGAAAGAAGAGGAAATCTTGTTAGTGCCGTGAGAGATTTAAAAAATTATATATTGGGTTATGTGTATTCTAATGGAAACTTTGAGTTGCTTTTGTGTTATTAGCGTGGGAAGGGTAATATTGTATGTGCTGTTACCCTTAAGTTTTTGCTTGTTAAGTGTGTGATATAATTGTCGTTTCCTGTTACGTTATTTTGCTTAACCTCCTACCGCTGGCACACTGGTTTCTTGACTTTGTTATTGTTACATGGCGAAAAGAGCTATATTATTAACTGTCGCTCAATATTAGTAATTTGCGTTGGGGTTAAGGCTTTGAAAGAATGGCGCACTTCCACCTTGAAGCTCATTTTGTTCGGAAACAACCAGATATGAAAGAATAAATCAGGTTTTCCCTCTGTACTACTTGCAACCTCTACAGTCTTAACTGAAGCTGATGGACACTAGACAGCTGGGCCAATAGTATGGACCATAAAAGCGTTCAACTGGTGTTGTTTTTCTGGATCTCAAGCAGGTGTTTGACAGAATCGACCTTACATGATAAATATTAATTTCAAAATTATTTCACGATGGAATACATAGGAAAGGTTACAAATGGTTACCCTGAGAACGGACCTCTGGAGTCAGGATAACAAATGGCTCAAGCCTCTTTTTGGCGGACGATTCTTACAGGGGCCTGCCCAAACTGTGTAACCACGCATTTGCCACAGTTGCAAATGTATACGAAATAGATCGAGAAACCGATAAGTTAGCTCTATTGTGAAATATAGTGAAACCTCTACAGAAGTAACCGGCCAACTCTCAACAACAGCCGTCTGACTACAATGACCATTGCATTTACTGTCCGGACGGATGGTCCGTAAACAGTAGAATCCCTCTCTACAGACACCCGTATTACGGACAATTCCGCTTCTCCCAACATACGGACACCGGACAACACGGACATTTTTCGTGGTCATTTGCATATCTCCCAAGATGTCGTCAACCGCCGTCTACTGACGCTGTATATCTGCATACTGTCTATGACTGAATATCTTACCAGTGAAAACCCGAGTAACCAAAACGGTGTATGACCCTTCAGAGCACGGGCGTAGCTGGGGGGCGGGGAGCCTGGCTTGCCCGTGAACCCCCCCCCCCCCCCCCCCCCGGCCCTTCTTCTCCTATTTTCTTTTTGTGGGTGGGAGCTGTGGGGTTGGCATCCTCAAAAAAGAGGAAGAGGTTTTTTTTTTTGCTGTGGTACTTCCTTACCACTTTCTGGTCGGTTCGGTCTCGTTAGGTGCCCCCCCCGCCCCCCTCTTTTTTTTTATTGGGGGAACTTTTTTCTTCTTTGTTGTTGTGGTTTTGTTGTAGGCTTTGCCGTCCCCCCCGCTCGCTGCTAATCCGAAAAAAAAAGTCACCTTTGGTAACACACGGGGGGGATGTCGACTGGCCAATCGGATAAGTACTTTTGGGGTGGCACAGTGTGGCCCTCCCCCCCCCCCCTGTGAAAAATCCTAGCTACGCCCCTGTAGTGGTTCTCTCCAGAATACAGGCCACCTGGCTGAGTCGCAAACTAACACCGTCATTACGTAGTTAAGTCGCATGTTCCACTGTCGTGTTGTAAGAACGGCATTGATCAACATTTAGGATGAATTCGATCGCTGCATTTGCATGTGACCGTCTCATTTGCCAGTTGAAGTTTTCTTTTATTGTTTTTCACCGTCACTGCGCAAGCACGACGTGAAAGACCAAATTTAAGTTCACTTGGGAACGTAAACGGCAGGTTGATAAATTTTGCTGAATCTTTCTGAGCTAGGAAACAGTCAACTCGTTGACGCTTCGGTCGTCAACTCTGTTGCATCTCACCTCTTCATGATCTGCAAAATCTGGCGATTAAGCTTATACTTCATCCGACTCATAAACAGGCCTTTGCTGGGCCGGAGAGTACCAGGGTGGAACTTCATCTATGAGTCCCAGGTCACACAGCATCTCGTAGAAAAGTACCTTAAAGTAGAGTCATGTCGGGAAAGGTACTTGCTCTGTGCCAGCGCACCGGTCCCAGATAAGATGTGAGCCAGTGGCCTTACCACACATTTTGCACAACGTCTCGTGGTGCGAACACTGACTTGCATTTAATCGAGTTGCTAATAGTTGTTCCTACAGCTCAAACATTCCGGTGATTGTGTGTGTTGGAGAGGACTTCCACTCTCTGTCAGCCACCAAAAGCATGCACTACCGCTCACTTTCTCGTCCTGTAGCGTAGCTGTAACGAGACTTCCTTGCCATCGCTGATTTCTAACTTCTTCTTCTAGCCTCTCTACTTGACAATTTCGCAGTTCCGTCTTGACCGTACGGAAATCGATCTCCCGTATATCTACTATAATTTATATTGATAACCTCAAGATTTTCGCTGCACCTGAGAGTAAACTTAATCGGGTCATGAACATGGTGGAAACGACTGTGGAAGATGTGGAGCTACAGTGGAACCCCAAGAAGTCTGCAGTGGCTCATATGAGAAGGGGAGTGCATGTGAGTGATAACTCGGGGATGATATTGGATGGCATGGCCAGGATAGGTCAGTAACCTGAAAACTGATGGGTTTTGACAGTTTGTATCCCTTGGTAGCACTGATCTTCCAGACTATTGGTTGTAAGCACTCAGTAAACAGTCTCGGGTATAGCGCATCTCATTGGGGCAACCCTTTACTGAATCTTATCGGTTCGGAGCTTTCCCTCCCTTTCCTTGTGACAACCATCACCCACCTGTTCCAACTCCTACAAAGTTTGGCAATAACCCTACACAACCAGACCGGAAACTTGTGTAACAACATTATCCCATTTAACCAGCCATGATCCACTGAATCATACGCTTTCTTAACATCAATCCATGCCATTTAAGGATTTTGAGACAACCTTCGCATTTTTGTTGAATTCGCTCACCAACCACTACTTTGGTCAATTTCTGGTCAGGCTCGTTTTTCCTAATGACGACCGGAGCTTATTATTTTTTGCTTTTTGCTACTCAAGCCTGTAAGCAAAGTTTGACCCCTTCGGAACCTTTCAACGTTTAAAATTTTCCATTTTTTTTTTTTTTCGGCAAATCAGCCGCAGTTTTCTCATGTTTGTTTGTCTTCTTTGTGAGAGGTGACCCATAAGAGGGATTCAAACCCGCGGTCCTAAAACCCGAAACCCATCGCTTATACCACTACACCAGAGTGGTTTCGACTGCAAGTTATGTTTTCGTTTTACATATTTATAGTGACAAACCTAACAGTAAATGAAGGCTAACTATTTCGAGTCAGTGCTTAGCCCTAATCACTATTGCCAGTTCTTAACCCTAATCACTATTTTCATTGCTTAACCCTAGTCACTCTTAATGTTTTTCGTGAAGTTTTAAAATGACATAACCTAAGAGCTTAGAAATAAAGATATTACGTATTCAGCGTTAAGTCCGGTTTCCATATGATCCCTACGATCGCTGAGAAAAAAAAGGTTCAGCAATCGCAGCGATCATAGCGATCATATGGAAGCCACTCTCCAGCGATCGCAGCAATAACGATCGCTGTGATAGCGATCATATGGAAACACAATGCAAAACAAGTAACAATTGCCTGTACACAGTAGCGCAAAATGGCGCCTAGTCGTTGTTGTTGTTGTTTTTTATTAACCGCAAAAATAAATGTCTTACTAATTTGCCCGTTTTTTTTGTTTCTGTCTCGTTCAATTGTTAGTTGTTGCTACAGTTTGCACCCCTGCTCTGAACAGCTGTATTAGGATTGCGTTTTAAAGTCAGTAATAGCGAAGTATTTTAAAATATTAATCTTCCGCTCTGCTCTTTTATTCTTGTAAAGCCAATTTCAAACATCATTCTTCAAGTAATTAATACAAACTGTTTGCCGGCAGCGACAAAATAATTCTTTCATTCGTCCAATTAAAGCTGCTTAATAAATATGTTAATATTTATTTTAGTGAAGATTGTCTTTAGGAAAGGCCACCTGCATTATCAGGGAAGCCAATCGAATCTGGCCCAACCGTACTTTAAACCTCTTAGTAGAATTTCTCTATGGCTTCCAAGTTTTGCACTCGAACGTTAAAAATTCTATCAGATCTTGTCCAGTTTCACTCAGCTTTTATGCTTGCTGGTTAATGTATTTTTAACCTGGTATTTTCTGTTGTGGCTGTTCTTGGAAATCTTTTAATTATTCACGCCTTATGGAAATCTTCGTCGGTACCGGCCACAGTGAAGAAGTTGTTCCTGAGTCTCGCTCTCTCGGATCTTGCGGTAGGAATGTTGCCGCAACTGATGTGGGGCATTGTTATGGCAGTGATGTTGTCGAAGACATCGAATGGTGACAGTAACATTGCCTCGTTTTGTCCAGGAATTGTCACTACCTGCTATTTCTTCACTTTTTCCCTCTGTTGCGCATCTTTTCTTACCATTGCAGCTATTGCAGTTGACAGACTTCTCGCTATTTTGTTGCACCTACGATATCGCGAACTCGTAACATCAAAACGCGTAAATGTGGCGTTGATTATGCTTTGGTTAACAAGTGGTGTCGCAGCCTCAGTATCCATTTTTTTCACCGTAGCCAACATGATCATCGCAACTTTTCAAGTCATTTTACTTCTATTAACAACCGTGGCGTATATTCGTATTTATGAAGTTGTGAGATATCATCGCATTCAAATACAAAGTCACTTAGGCTGCAAAACTTTGATGTAGAGGATTTACGTCGTCAAAAGAAATCCGCTTGGAATGCTTTGATCGTTTATGTAACATTTCTGTTTTGTTATCTTCCCTTTTTTGTGTCTGTATTAATTGTGCTCATTTATGGTGATGGGATGTCGCCATTGATAGCTAATTATGCCACGTTGCTTGTTATTTTCTTGAATTTATCTTTGAACCCTTTAGTTTACGGTTGGCGTTATCGCGGAGAAATTCGCAATATTGTAAGAAGTAGTTTGAAAAAAGTAATTCACTTGAGGGAAGATAGGGCATAGACGACCAGTCGTTTTGCTATTGCATTATCGCCCCATGTATGGGAATCCCGAGTCCGGAATCTGGGAAAACTTTTTGCTTGTGGAATCCGGAACTCAGCAATGTTTTGCTGTGAAATCTGAAATACAGGACAAGAAATACGGAATCCCACTAACCATTGCAATCAGGAATCCAAGTTCCACTGACAGAAAGTCTGGAATTTGGATTCGGAATCCGGGATCCACGACATAGAATCAAGAATCTAAAACTGTCTTGTATTCTCTTACATGAGACGAGCCTTAAATTAATACGGCCACAGAAAACCTAACTTTTCTTTAGTTGAAGTACGATTTAGGAGCTTAGCGAGACATGACAAGAAAAGGCTTTAACAGCTTTGTATAGTTCGTATAATATATAACCTTCTTGGCGTCCAAATCTAATCTACGATGCCATGGTTTGGAAAATAAAGGAAAACGAATGCTACCGACAAAATTAAGTGAATAAATATCTATGGGAGAGAAGAACAAGAGTTAAAACAAAATAAAACAAACTGCGAATTGTAAAGAAGAATTGCTTTATCTTGCTGTTTCATTACAGACAATAACATAGCAGAAAAAGTGGATAATGTCTAGATAAAAATAGATGAATTTAAACTCAGCTATGAGGAGTATAATTTTTACTCCCATTGTGATGGACTACCAATCTTCATACGAGTTCGCCCTCAGCTTCTAAGACACGGAAGGGAAGTGTCCCGACCAATTCTTGAAAACCATTTCTTTTTACGTTTATGTCCTGGATTTTGGAGACCGAGGATCGAGTATTTTTGCGGTAGGGAAAAATACCTTCTTCAGATTAGAGTGGAAAAGGACATTACTTTTATCCCACATTGTGTCAGCTAGCAGTTTATAGTGCAAACAGTCCAAAGGTAAAATCTGAAAATGCTAAAAAAATAAATGGGATCGCGTAATCACGTCTTTTACCAAAACGCATAAAACGCGAATCAAAAGCTAAATAAAAGTGTTTTTTTCGCTTGTCTTCATGCAATTAGCTCATAGCGCAAATAGGAAGTGGTAAGTGAGTTTCCAATGTTCATTAGTGTCTATTGCGGAACAAAATGGCTTAAGATTGATAAAGACGCTAAAGTTTAACTGAATTTTAACGGTAGGTGCACGCTGTGATTTTTGCGTGAAGCCAATGTTTCATAAAGCCACCCAGATATGCAACGTATTCTTTACCTTTTTTTTTTACTTTTACTTCAATATATATAGTTTTTCTAATGAGAATAGAGCATTTTAGTATCGTCAGCAAACAAATAACAAATTAAACTTATCAAGAGCCATAATCTATGGCTCTTTAACTTATTTCAAATAGAACACATGTCATTGACATAGAGAAAAAGTAACGGTGCCAATACAAAACCGTCAGAAGCCTCACAGATAGCGGTTGTTCTTCCAGAAGGCATTTGCTAACTACTGTCACTTGTGTTCTCCCCCTTAAACGGAATTCAAGCCATTCTTGTTGTTTCCTCCCGAAACGATAAATACCCAACAAAAAAAGGCCTCTATGTGCATATTTTATTGGATTGCCTTAATTATTTCAAGGATCGTGTGTTCCTTTAAATGAGCTTGCCAAAAGCCATATTGATGTACACTTGAGATACGCGGCCAAGGTTAATAGACTTATTGAAGGTATTTGCGGCGACATCTCGTATAAAATTGCTTGGTTGGAGTATTAAAAGGCCGTGTGATTTATCATTGAAGGTAAAAAAATGATGTCGTGGGTGATTGGTTTCTGTTACGACATTCAGCAGGGAAGTGCCGATTTCTACGTTTTGGCAGCTGTAGTGCCAAGTTAAGGCATATACTAGAAAAACTCTGATTCATAGATATTTGCAATCTGTGAAATACTACTATAATTGCTGTTTAGCTGTTTTAAAGTAGTTTAAAATAAATCAACATCAAATAAATCAAAAGACTTTGTGCTCCACCATTGAAAGCTTGATTTTCTTCGCGAAGACAACCCGTTATTGTGCTCTCCAAATCACCAAGGTTAGTCGCCTGTTTCCAAAGGATAGAGCAGGTTGGATCCTAGGATCCAATAATAATAATGCGCAAAGAGGGATACGCACGAAATGTTGAATAAGTATAGCAGCGGTGCTGCATAAATGTTTTGACCTTGAATGTGAATGAATATATTCGTGAAGAAGAATTTAATATAGCAACACTGTTGAATAAAAAATTTGACCTTGAATGTAAATAAATATAATGTTATTGTGTTTTAAGGTAAAAGTGCAATTATAACATGCCCGCGGGTAGCTAAGCTAATCTAGGCGGGTCACGTTTACAAGAAATAAATACAACTAATACAACTAAAAGTAACAAGAGAACTAAAGAAACTAAAATTGACAGCAATGACTAGAAACTACTCATAAACTAACGGTATTACTAATCATAAATGACAATACTTTCACTTTGTCTCCCATCAGTCAACGAAGAAAAAAAAATGATCTAAACTAGCCTAGCAACAAATACACATGCGAGAACGCGGAGCGCTCGCTGAAGCAAATGTGAATGAATATATTCGTTACTGAGAAATGTTTCGTTGAATGTGAATTCGTGTACATGTTGTATGACAACGTAGTTGTTGAACGTAAATGAATATATTCGTGAACAAGAATGAAATCATTAAATGTGAATGAATATGGAATTTGTGAATTTTGCACAATTTCGCTAACCGTCCTAATATAATTTGCCTTTTATTATTTCGGCTGTCTGCTTCAACTGTCAGTTATTCCTACAATGTGTACCCCTGTTCTAAACAGCTGTATTAGGATTGCGTTTTAAAGTCAGCAAAAGCGAAGTATTTTGAAATATTAATCTTCCGCTCCGCCTTTTTATTCTTGTAAAGCCAATTTCAAACATCATTCTTCAAGCAATTAATTGAAACTGTTTCCCGGCAACGACACAAAATAATTCTTTCATTCGTCCAATTAAAGCTGCTTAATAAATATGTTAATATTTATTTTCGTCAAGATTTTCTTTAGAAAAGGCCACCTGCATTATCAGGGAAGCCAATCAGATTTGGCCCAATGGTACTTTAAACCTCTTACTAGAATTTCGCTATGGCTTCCAAGTTTTGCACTCGAACGTTAAAAATTCTATCAGATCTTGTCCAGTTTCACTCAGCTTTTATGCTTGCTTGTTACTGTATTTTTAACCTGATATTTTCTGTTGTGGCTGTTCTTGGAAATCTTTTAGTTATTCACGCCTTATGGAAATCTTCATCGATACCGGCCACAGTGAAGAAGTTGTTCCTGAGTCTCGCTCTCTCGGATTTTGCGGTAGGAATGTTGCCGCAACTGATGTGGGGCATTATTATCGCAGTGATGTTATCGAAGACATCGAATGGTGACAGTAACTTTGCCTCGTTCTGTCCAGTTATTGTAACTACCTGCTATTTCTTTACTTTTTCCCTCTGTTCTGCATCTTTTTTCACCATTGCAGCTATTGCCGTTGACAGACTTCTCGCTATTTCGTTGCATCTGCGATATCACGAACTCGTTACATCAAAACGTATCAATATGGTGTTGATTATGCTTTGGTTTACAAGTGGTGTCACAGCCTCGATATCCATTTTATTCCCCGTAGCCAACAAGATCATCGTAACTTTTCAAGTCATTTTACTTCTATTAACAACCGTGGCGTATATTCGTATTTATAAAGTTGTGAGATATCATCGCTTTCAAATACAAAGTCAAATTCAGCTGCAAAACTTTGAAGTAGAGGATTTACGTCGTCAAAAGAAATCCGCTTGGAATGCTTTGATCGTTTATGTAACATTTCTGTTTTGTTATCTTCCATTTTTTGTCTCTGTATTAATTGTGCTCATTTATAGCGAAGGGATGTCGCCATTGATAGCTAATTATGCCACGTTGCTTGTTATTTTCTTGAATTCATCTTTTAACCCTTTTGTTTACTGTTGGCGTTATCGAGAAATTCGCAACATTGTAAGAAGTAGTTTGAAAAAAGTAATTCACGTGAAGGAAGATAGGGCATAGACAACCAGTCGTTTCGCCATTGCATTATCGCCCCATGTAAGGGAATCGCGATTCCAGAATCTGGGAAAACTTTTGTTAGTGGAATCCGGAATTCAGCAATGTTTTGCTGTGAAATCTGGAATCCTGGGCTATGAGGAGTATGATTTTTACTCCCATTGTGATGGACTACCAATCTTCATAGGATTTCGGCGTTAGCTTTTAAGATACGGAATGGAGGAACCTATCTTTTGGAAGTGTCCTGAGATTTGTTGGTACTTCATTCCATAGAATTGCACCAGTTCTTTAAGACCATTTCTTTTTAAGTTTGTCTTTGATTTTGGAGACCGAGGATCGAGTATTTTAGCATTTTTTTCGCGGTAGGGAAAAATACCTTCTTCAGATTGGAGTGGAAAAGGACATTACTTTTATCCCACATTGTCTGAGCTAGCAGTTTATAGTGCAAAGAGCCCAAAGGTAAAATCTGAAAATGCTAAAAAAATAATGGGATTGCGTAATCACGTCTTTTACTAAAATGCATAAAACGAGAATCAAAGGCTAAATAAAAGGTTATTTTTTTCGCTTGTCTTCATGCAATTAGCTCATAGCGCAAATGGGGAGTGGTAAGTGAGTTTCCGGTGTTTATTAGTATCTAGTGCGGAACAAAATGGCTTAAGTTTGATAAAGATGCTAAAGTTTAACTGAATTTTAACGGTAGGTACTCGATGTGATTTTTGCATGAAGCTAATATTTCATAAAGCCACCCAGATATGTAACGTATTCTTTACCTTTTTTTTAACTTTTACTTCAATATATATATTTTTTTCTAATGAGAATAGAGCATTTTAGTATCGCCAGCAAACAGATAACAATTTAACTTGACTTAACTATTTAACTATGGCTCTTGAACTTATTTGAAATAGAACACATGTCATTGACATAGGGAAAAAGTAACGATGCTAATACAAAACCGTCAGAAGCCTCACAGATAGCGGTTGTTCTTCCAGAAGGCATTTGCTAAACTACTGTCACTTGTGTTCTCCCCCTTAAACGGAATTCAAGCCATTTTTGTTGTTATCTCCCGAAAACATTAAATACCAACAAAAAAGGCCTCTATGTGCATATTTGGATTTCCTTAATTATTTCAAGGATCGTGTGTTCTGTTAAGTGACCTTGTCAAAAGCCATATTGATACAACCTAAGGTGTTTCGATACAGTTTTCGCAGACCGTACCGATGTTTTTTTTTTAATCGCCTTACAAGAGACTTTATCCCTGTCCGATCGCCACAAAATTTTCACCTGTTTATCACTATGAAAAAAATAAACAAAAAAAATGAAAATCGATGAAATCCGAAGTTCGCGCGATCTAGACCTGCTACTGAAAATCCGACACCAGGAACTTGTGTGTGTGGTGTTTAGCAATTAACCTCCGTGAAAAGTAAAAACTTCTGTATGTTTGAATTCAAGTAAAACGTAAATATATTTCAAACCTTATATTTTCAATAGCCGTGATAAATAGGTTATTTGCACGATGGCGTCATTTTACTACCACGACCATAATCCTTTCCGTTTTTCCTTTCATATTTAAATTTTGTAATCCCAGTGAGGTTTGAATAACAAAAGCCCTAATTTGCACAAGAAAGCAAAACCCTGAAGGATTCTGGTCGTAGTAGGAAAATGATGTCATAGTGCAAATGGCCTATTGTTTAACAAAAAGGTCTAAGTAACTCAAATTAATCTTAAGTAGCGTCAGATGGCTGCTTAATATCATATTTCGATATTTGGAAATTTTGGTGTATTTCCTTTTTGCGATCCTGAAAACTAATCGTTTTCTCACCACCTGTATAAAGGCAATTCATTCTAAATTTTGACTTCAATTCATAGTCAATCACTAGTGAAAATTTTGTGGCGATCAGGCAAGGATAAAATCTCTTTTAAGGCGATTGAAAAACATCGGGTGTGGTCTCCGAGAAACTGTATCGAAACGCCTTAATATACGCGGCCAAGGTCAATAGACTTATGGAAGGTATTTGCGGCGACATCGCTTATAAAATTGCTTGGTTGGAGTATTAAAAAGCCGTGTAATTTATTATTGAAGTACTTGAAGGTAAAAAAAAATGATGCCGCGGATGATTGGTTTTTGTCACGACATTCAGGGAAGTGAATTTCCGGGTTTTGGCAGCTGTAGTGCCAATACTAGAAAAGTTCCGATTCATAGATATTTGCATTGTGTGAAACTCTAGTATTGCTGTCTGGCTGTTTTAAAGTATAAGTAGCCACCAGCGTTTCGGGAATATTATTATCCGATTATTACCGTCAACTTGAGTCCCTGATATTCCAAATTGCTGACGTATTCAGTGATGAAAGCCGAAGATGAAGGTACTTCGCCTTTGTTTCTTCTGTCGTGGCCGGCCTGCAAATTTGACGCACGTAGTTAGTCTGTAGATAGATCCTCAAATTGGACTCCGCAAAAAAAAAAAAAATTCCCATCCGCTAATAGCCCCCTTCTTGTTAAAATAATTAAATAGCGTGCACTTAATTCATTTTTTCACTCACAGTCTTGTCGTCAATGAAAGCGACTAAGTAGACATAAGTATCCTCTCCTTACGAAATAGGGAGGTCAGGGCAGTGAACACTAATATAAAAAATCTAAAACCAATCTTTTAATGAGAGATTAAAACTTTGAGAAAATTCACGGCGTTTTCTAAATTGACAGAAGAGCTCAGCAATATAGCAGCTACTGTCCTTGCCATTTTTGACCCCAGGGCTCTTCTTCTTTTGTGCGTGATTATGGACGAGAAAGGCGCGAGCTCTGGGGTCGAGGATGTTGTACTCGCGCGTTATCTTAAATTCAGCCAGAGCCCTCTATCCAATGGCGGTGGCCAAAGGGATCTCAGCTGCTGAGCGGAGAATTTGCTAAACTTCTTCAATGCGTAAAGTGCCCACAAAAGGTAGTGGTATTTTTCCCTGTCTTTCTCAATGAAGAGAAGGTTGCAGTTGTTGGATGTACATTGCCTTCGTAGTGACTATCATAAACCAGATTGGCGCAGTTCTTTAGATCCCTCCATGGTGGCCAGTACACTGATTTCATAAATACCGCGTTTTCGTTTGTGCAACACGACAGATTTTTATCACAGGTAACTCAGGCTCTGTGATAGTACCACAGTACGGTTCCAGTAAAATTAAAGTGTTTTTATGGGGTAAAAATATCATCCTAAAATTTCTAGGAAATACTAAATAAAGGTCGATAAAACTTGCTCTGCAGTTAATTGTTGTTGTCCTTATTGCTCCAACGAAGTTTCGTGATAATTTGCAGTAATTTGTTTAAATTCACTCTATCTACAATAATAATATACAAGGTAGGAAACACGAGGTGCCATTTTCGCCGACATGCTCTCATTCAACACAACTTTTTCCACGAAATTCGAACTCCAACGGAAAATAAACATGCCAGGATCGTAGAAATAGGATAGCAGCAGGTATAGAAACCAATGAAGCTTTCCCAGATAGAGAAACGAATCCCACAGACTTTGACAAACTCGAAGAATATAATCCAAACAGACCGAGAATACGCTCGCCGAAGCAGCCGGGCCAGATCAACACGCGGCCAAGAAAATGAGGCCTGGGCACTGTACAAAAAAATTCCATCCCAGGGGACCTGGGGTGACCTTTCTAGGGACCGATACATTATTTGCCCAAAGCCACCCTCCCCTGCTGGAAAAATACTTGATAGAAGGCAATTGTACTGTGGTACTATCACAGAGCCTGGGTTACCTGTGATTTTTATAAACTAACCCATGTATAAATAGGAATGAAGATTAGCAAACAATAGACCTATTCGGCTAATTAAATGTTGTACTCAATTCAAACCCTTTGGGGATAAAACGTTTTGTTTCTGGAATTTCCATGTCATTTAAATGTGAATGCAACATTTTAATGGAAATACAGTACACAAAGAATCTTAACCCCGGGAGATTTAAATTGGGTACAACATTGAGTTTAGCCGAATAGATCTATACTGGACCCCTGGCCTCAGTTGTGCAAATGATTGATAATGATTTTTACTGGGTATATTTTATTCAGTAAATAACGCAACTTCTCTCTTCAACTCTCATCCACTAAATAGTGATTTCATGTTTCTAGATGCGACTACGAGAACGTCGACTCTGAAGCCGCCAACAAAGTGATAGAAGTCCTGCGGAAAGCAGTTGAGGATAGCTCTCTAGTCAATAAGACATTGACAGGCGGAAGTGGCAAAGAACAGAAGTCATATCAAGTCAAGTCAACAGATGATTTCTCTTACACAGATCCCATTGATGGAAGTCTGACAAGCAAACAGGTAGTGTTTGCAGAAATTATTTCTTAGCCAATCAGAAGCGGAGAATTCAAATGCTTCTTTAACCTGTTCGGAAAAAGAAAGGCTGTGTCATCAATATACCAGATGGTTTATCATGTGGACATGAAAAATACCAAATGTAAAAAAAATCATCACAGTTACATACGCAGCTTATTCACTTGCGAAAAGAAGGCCTGAAAATATTCAGGCTTACCGGAATTCGAAGCCTGACCTCAACGATACCGGTGCAACGCTCTTACCAATTAAGCTAACAAACCAAATGGGAGCTGGTTGTTAAATTGGTTCGTAAAGACACGACATGCCCGGGTTCGATTCTGGGTGGTGACTATCTTTCTTTTCTAAAAGAAAAGAATTAAGAGCTGATCGATGCTTATATTGGCCTGGAAAATACTCCTGCCGGGTATGAACAGGTGTTCATACTCTTACATACGCAAACCCATCCGGTATGTGACGATCCACCTTCAAGATCGGCGAAGCGCAGCCTCCCTACGTCTCAGAAACCGCGCCAAAATCACCGATCTTATTATGTGTAAAGCGAAGTCCCATCCCATACGGTTTTAGTGCCGGTGGAGCACCACTGGTAATCAAGCCTTTAGTCATGATGGATGTAACATATTCCCTGGATTAAGTTACAATAACGCAAATAATAGGTTTTTGAATAATCTTAGAAAGAACAACTCTGAAGCCCAAGTTGAATGTACGTTAAAAAGTATGGAAAGGGTCACCTGTTATTTATGAGGTTAGGATACGAAAGGTCCGGGTTCCGGGCCCAGGTTCGAACCTGGGTTGCGATTTTCTTTCTTTATAATAGAAACGCTTTCAGTAATAGGCCAAGTGTCTTAAAAATGACAGCGACCGTTTACAAAAGGGACACTCTGCGTCGGCGCAAGAGCTAGTTGGCATAGTGTTGATATAGCCTAAGTTGTTAGGTGTTCTCGCTAATGTCCGTTGTCCGTTGATTAGAGAAGTTTCGAGGAAGGTTTCGACAATATTTTTTTGTAAATTTATTTTTGTTGCTTTAGGGAATCCGTGTAATCTTCACTGACGGATCGCGCCTGATTTTTCGGCTGAGTGGCACGGGGAGCACCAATGCAACAATCCGAGTTTACGTTGAAAGCTATGAGCCAGATGAATCAAAACATATGCAGGAGGCTAAGGTATGTAGTGGTTTGAATGTTGTTGATGTCACTATCAAGATTTAACCTGATGAGATGAAAAGTTCGAAATTCATATATTGTTAGTATTACAGTCGAACATGCATATGTCACCCCCTCTCGTAAGTAACCAACTCTCATGAGCGACTGCCTACCCAAAACACCAAAACTTCCTCAGTCAAAGACTTACAGTTGGAATCTCTAGTAAACGACCACACCACCTGTAGGCGACCGCGACCACTTTTTTGGCCTGAAAGTTTGATGATTTTCCATTGCTTTTAACCTCTTGTAGGCGACCACTTGGCACCTTCTGTGACCTCTATGTTCGCTACTACTTAGAATATACGAAGAACTTTAGTGACAACATGGAAGTTCTCATGGTGTAACTTAAGATTGCATGCAATAAATTTTCTTCCATAAAGTAGATGTGCCCGGACCTATTCTCGGAAGAGGCCCCCCCGTTTCTCGTAAACGACCACCTCCCGTAAGCGACCGCTAAGTCTTTGCATTTTGGGTGGTCGCTTGAAGGAGTTTCGATTGTAGTATTATCGTAAGTACTGGCAATATTATTCCAATTCAAGCACTACTCTTTGAATGGATCCTTCTTTTTACTCCGAACGACCTCATCTAATGCTCCATGTACTTACAGCGTTGTAAGTAGTATCACAGGAAATTATTCTCACTAGTTCTCATGGCATATTTTAGATTTCATTCACAGACTCGAAAGTTAGAACTACCCTTTTGCAGCAAAGCAAACGGTCTCATAGAAGGACTCTGCTTAGACTATAAGCCATGTTGTCCCGTTTTTAAACAAAAGGCTACAAGGGAGTCTAACTGAAACCGGTTTAAAACAACCAATGGACCTAAAAAGTGGATTATTTTATTTAGAAAATGATCTTTGTAATTTGTACTATGCATATTGCTCTCCCCTGTTTATTAAGATTGGGCAAATTGGAAATGGCTTAGAACGCGGTTTCTGTTAAACATGTGGCTAAACTCTGTACGTCCAATTTTGTAATGCAGGCTGCCCAGAATCCACACCGTGCAATACAGTAAAAAACCCGCAACTAAGAACCTAAAAATTAAGAACCTGCTAGCCTAAAATTGATCATTTATACCCCCTATAAACAAGAACCTATTTAGCCTAAGAAATTTAAAACAGGTTCTTATTTTCTAAAATCATACTAGTACATTACAGCTGCATTGCGAGAATCATATTTGAAGCAAAAAAAGCAGATTGCCATTGTTGTAAAAATGTTTTTTTAAAGAAAAATGAGTGCAGTGGGGGTGGGGGTGGGGGTGTTGTGGGGCTGAAGAAAATAAAAGTATAGGCCAATGACCAACTTGTTTGCAGCTGTGTTTTAATTGTTTTTTCTCCAGGATTAAGAACCCATTTTAAGAACCTAAATAGCCTAAAATTCTGTTTACTACCATTTATATAAGAACCTGTTTAGACTAACTCCTAAAAATGTAGGTTCTCAGTTGCGGGTTTTTACTATAATCTCAGTACCCTCTCCCCTCCCACACTACCCCCAGACTAACAAGTGAAGCGCTTATTGATTTTATCGTTAACTGCCGTTAGCTTTTTCGTATGTTCTTATGCTGTTCTTCAGTATCAGTTCTGGCAAAAAACGATTGGCAACGACAAAACAAAGGAAAGGAAAACAGTTTGTGTGGTATTCGAACATAAGCGCAGCATGGCCGCTATGTCGTGTAACCGCGATGTGTGTCTTTGCAACATTTCTTATAGTCCTTGTGAAGTATCTTTTATTTGTTTTATTTATTTATTGTTGGTTTCTTTATTTTCTGCAGGATGTATTAAAACCTCTGCTCGACATAGCACTAGACATCTCACAGCTGCAAAAGTTAACAGGACGCGACGCGCCGACAGTCATCACATAACACATGCTCTTCTTCCCAATATGAAAAATGGATCAAACAGAAGTACATGATTTGTTTTAATTTTTTTTTTTATTATTATTATTTTTTTTTTTATCTTAATGTTTCAATTGTAAGGTGCACCCACGGGGTACCGGGATAAATTAATGTTTCAGGTTTTTGTTTTTGTTTTTTACGCAAATATTTTCTTTATTTATATATACCTATTTGCTAACTTAGGCCCTGTTTACATGTATATGGACAAAACCTGTCCCAGCCTAGTCATCTTTAGCGAGCGTTGATATGAGAAAATGTGACCCCTTGGACCAGCCAACAGCTGACAAAAGTGCTATCAAATGCTTTGATTGCCCTTACTTGACCGAAATGGCCCGGCTGGAAAGCCAGAGTGTAGTTAGAGTAGAGGAAATATCTAAAAAACGAACTACGAAACAATACATTCAAAACCTCTGAAGGGTTCACCCTCGGGAAAGGTGACAGACTACTTTATATAGAGCTGCTAAAAAGAGGTTTGATTGTACTAAGATCTGGTCCAGACGAATTCGACATTTTTTGAACCTGGGTACCGTATTTTTTTCTACCCAGATTCGTGCGGACGGAGCTTTAAGAGTAGTCTGGAGAGTGGTTTCAAAACGATGCTATTTCGGTGAGTTGAATCAATTTCGTGCGGTAAAAAACAAACATTTACGACTCCAAAAATATCCGGATTCGTGTGAACCGGGCCTAAAGCACACGGTAGAGACGGTAGACTGCCAGCAGTCCCTCGGGATTATCGCGCGGGTGTGCATGTTAAATGCGACTGAACAAGGCAAACGCGCGAGGGAGAAGACTGAAAGGATAGATGGGTCCGTTTATTTCTTTTGTCTCTGTACCAGTTCTCTTCTAGATTGGTTGCTGTTTCGAGTCCTGCTTAGCCTCAACCCTACAGACTGAACGTGCACTGCTTCAGTCTAGGCACGTCACACGGTTGCCCTAAAAACACCCTTTAGCCAAATACAGTCAAACCTGCTTTAACGGTCACCTCTCTACAACCGCCACATTTTCGGCGGGCAGTCCATACATTGCCTTTTTGTTTAAACCTCTCTTCAACGTCCACTTTCTTCTGTCGCCAAGGTGACTGTGGTTGAGAGGTTCAACTGACGTCACGATAAAATCCTCCTGGCCCCAGTTGTTCAAAAGCTAGATAGCGCTATCCATCGGATAAATGACTGTCCTGCGGATAAGTATTACGGAAACCAATTGCACTATCCACTGGATAGAGATTTAACCGGTGGATAGCGCTATCCACCTTTTGAACAACTCGGGTTGGTCATACTGGACATATTTGTAGAAGATAATGTAAGTTCTTTCTATTTAAGGTTTAGCTCCAAGAAACGCCATAACGATTAAAAAATAATTTTGAAAAATTTCTGGTGATTATCTCTTTGATATTTGGAGAGAAGGGCCCAATCTATATAGGCTTAACACGTTAAAATCAAAATTAATAATAATCATCAGAGTTGTCAAAACTTGACGTCGATTACAATATTACGAAAAACAAACAAACAAAAATAAGAAATTGTGGTTGGAATGTAAATTATTCCTGTATTTCAGTTTTCTAGTGGCGTGGAGGGGGGGGGGGGGGGGGGGGGGGGGGTTTTTTCCCAAAGAAAAAAAGGGGGGGGAGGGGGGGGGGGGTGGGTGGGGGGTAGGTTGGTTCCCTTTTTTCCAACACCCCCCCCCCGCGCCCCCGATTTGGGATCAAAAAAAAATAAAAAAAGCAGCGGGAGATTTTTTTTTTTTCCAAAAAAGATCTCCCGCACAACATAAGAATTGTTGTTTTTCCAGGACAAACACAACGTGTACTTGTGGGCGGTGAACATCTTTTTATAAAAAAAAAAAATACCGCCGCGCTTTTTTTTTTTTTTTTTTTCCCCACCCTGGGGCGAGGCGCGGGGGGTTGTGCAAGAAGGGGGTCTCCTAGTCCCACCCCCCCCCCCCCCCCCCCCCCCCCCTTCTTTTCTTATGTAAAAAACCCCCCCCCCCCCCCCCCCCCCCCCCCCTCCATATGTAAAGGGGTTGAGGAATATAATAAGAAAAAAAAAAAAAAAAAAAATAGTGTGTGGGGGGGGGGTTGTTTGATGGTTTGTTGTTGTGTGTGTGGTGGGGGGGGGGGGGGGGGGGGGGGGGGGGGGGGGGGGGGGGGGGGTATTTCCATAACGAATAAAGCGATGATGACAGGTAGGCTATGTGTGTGGCTAATGTGCGTTCCACTTATCGTCAAACTCCGGACCCTGGCTCCAGATTCGTGATACAAAAACAATTAAAAAGTAGCGCGGATATTTTTCTTTAATTCACAAAGTGTGTCCCGCTTACGATGAAACGTTGGGTATTTCCGGACCAAACAAGCTACGTTTCGTAATACAAAAACGAGTAAAAACTAGCGCGGAAAAAAATCCAACGACGTTTCATTGTCATTGTACGTGGCCGTTTTTCAATTTTGAAGGGTCTGGTCGAGCAAATGTCAGAAATAGTGAGATAGCCAAAGTCACGCAAGTCTATTCGAGCAAAACTATTCCGACTGGGCATTAAGAGAAGATGTAATTACCGTAAAGAGAAACTAGTGCGGTGGTTTCCTGCTGTGCAAGCACCAAATGATGTATTACCCACGTCAAAAAACAAAAGCGAACCAGCTATAGTATCTGCGGAACTAGAGTAACACCCATTAGAGTGAATACTTCCTCAACCTCCGGCACAGACAGTAGACATAGGCGATTCTGAGTGACAAGTTCCGCTGCATTAAAGGCTATGATTTACACATATCATCCTCCACTCTACTATAATATACATTTAAAGATAACTTTGATTAGGTACTTCTGTAGATAGTAACTATATAACATCGGCCCAGGGGAGGTTTTGTGTCCAGCGGTTTTAGTGGCGCTTATTCGAGGTGGGCGCTAATTCGAGGTTGGGCGCTTATTCGAATAAATACGGTTTTTCGAGCTTGGGCTACCTGTGGTAAAGGTAACATAGAGAAATCAAAAATGCGTCAAGTTGTCGCTTACAAGAGATTTTATGGAAAATAATTAAAAGCTTTGCCCAAAAAGTGTTCGCGGTCGCTTACGAGAGGTGTTTGTTTATGAGAGGTTTTATTTATGGAGCTTTGACCGGAAACTTCTGTTGTCTCCTATGGGGGTTGGCCGCTTACAAGAGGTACTTCCTCAAACAGCCCAAGTTCACGAGTGTTAATTGTTGTTACGTGACAATGAATTATGCGTTTTTGTATTGGTACCTTAGGGCCTGTTTACATTGACGTGGGGGACTCCAAGAAGGTGGGGTAACCCTCTTAGGTGGGGTAACCCCCCTGTCCATACAATCTCTCATTTTAATGTGATCACGTTTACATGTTAGGTGGGGTAACCCGCCTCATGTTACCTCACCTACCTGGGGTCCCCCCACCTTCATGTAAACAGGCCCTTAGTGTTCGCTATTTGGGGGTCAAAAAAGAAATGAAAGCTTCAGAGTTCAATAGCTAGTTTCCATGTGTCATTAATTGTGTTTAGATAGCAAGTGAGGCCGTTCTTAATGCGACTTAAACTCGCTGGAATCGCTCTGAAACGGAAGCGGAACTTCTAACCCATGATCCCTCGCGTATAAAACCACAGTCGTCTCCCTGCTTTGGTGTCGGTGGTCATGACAGCTCGACTATCATTGAAAAATATTGGTGATGAAAAAAATACTATTCACTGGCATACAAGGTCAGTCTTGCAGGAGTAAAGAACGTCAAGATTTAAAACTGAGTTCGAAGGAATTTTTTAGGTAAGTCATTTGAAGCTGAACAAGTTCGGCCACGCGTGTAGTATTAAAGAATTAGCTCTCGTCTAAATGACTCTATACTCTTTGAACGAACTGATGTTTTTAAAACAGTTATCCACAATCACATCAAACGATAGGACAATGATTTGGATGTTACCGTGTTTTACCGTGCTTAGCAGTTCTGAGTTGATCGTTGACTGAGATAGAATATGTAAATAAATAAGTCCTCGTCATTTTTTGAGGTATATTCAGTGAAATGCCCAACGCGTTCATGCCCTTTGGCTGCAGATAACATTGAAAGTGCGTCGAGACTAACCTTGTGGTAATGGAAGTATACATTGATTAACTGATTGAGCGCATTCGTTAGATTGCTTTTACGAACGAAGTCGGTTCAAGCAGGGAAATTTTTGTAAGTGACATGAAGCGAAGATAGAGGGTCAAGAATGCAAATTTGTGCAATTCAGCCAGCGAGGCGTTTCGATACTGTAAAGGTAAAGGAAAAATAGAACGAGTGGTTTTCGCGAGATAAGCAAAATTGCCGGTACCTTCTCATATCGAGTGCCACAAGAAACAAAACTGATACCAAACTAAAAACAAATCGGACTCAAAACCCTTAGCCACAAGGTGAAATACAGTTGCAACAAGGTGGACGAGGTAAAGTTGTTTTCTTAAAAATACTAATAATAAGTAAATAAATGTAAGAAATGTCTAGCTTTTTTGAGTGTAGAAATAACCCCGTTTGAATGGAATTACATGTAATTGAAAGCGAGCAATATATGAAAGATAAAGGGTGTTGCAAAAATCATGTTATATGCAATATGATCCAGAATTTGTGGTTTTTAGTGACGTGAGAGATTAAACATAATTATATACGCCGAAACCACGTCAGCAACAACTTCCACCACCACCGCAACAGCAAAAACATAACAGCAGCCCGCGAATGCAGCCGTGCGTTTTGCGAGAGAAACGATCGAAACGTCTCAAGTAGTGAGGAGCGATGAAAGACAACTTTATTCGCAGACTACACAACAGTTTCTGATTTTATGAACATACATGTAGTTGCAGTGTCCTAATTAAAAAGTATGAAATCAATATAGATGATAGAGAAGGAAATTAAAACACTAAGTAAAACACTTAATGGATTTTTAATTTCAGAGTAATTTCCACGAGTTTGGCGGCCATTAATTTTATACGTATTCTTATTGGTTGCCACGCAAGTTAAACAGAGATGTCTTGCCGAATTAACTTTTATGCCTAAAGCTTAAATAATTCAAAACATGGAAACTCCAGTTGTTGTAACTGAATCATGTAAAGCAAAAGAAAAAAAAGAATTTTGGTATACAATTATTAGAAATGATGCCGTGACAAAATTGTTTAAAAAATGCATGGCATAGGTCACGTGACATTCTGAAGCAAAGAGCCTGTGTTTACTTCCAAAAACCTTCTTTTTATTCCTCGTCTTCTTCTTCCAATTACTTTCGTAAATTGATATCAATTTTGCAGTTATGGTTGTGCGATTTCTCCTTTGATGATTTATCTGTCTGATTTTAATATTCGTTGATTTTTCAACCAGTACAAGTCTTAAAGCCATAACAATTAAACAGCTGCAATAACAAAGCAAATTTCGACAAATAATTGAAAAAAAGAACGGGAAGTTTGCAATCAATTGATATCATTATTTTTAATGTTCTTATGTATTGAAAAATACAAAAAAGGACACCTGGTGCTATCATTTCAAAGCAACTGATTTTCTGTCAATTTGTATGACCT